ATTTTCTAGGCATAAACTAAGACGAGCAAAGAGGGATTCATTTCACAGAATGCTGCTATTATACCACTGAAGCAACCCTGCACCCATTCATGAGAGTATGGATTTTCTGGCTTGTTTAGGGAAATGGGGAGGCTTGTCTATTGAAAGGGAGGCAAATGCCTTTCCAGAAATGTAAGAAAAACATTATATTTTCGGCTTGGTCCTAGCAAAAAAGTTATTAAGATAGTGGGCAATACCATTTTAGAGTGTTTCTGGTAGTTGTTTTTCTTTCTCTCGTCTAGTCTGTTCTTAATTTTAATATATGTATTATTAACCTGCCCTATACTCTTTGAACTGAAGTAACTCCCAATGAGCCCCCCCGCCTTTTATTTTATCCTGGTCCTAGTGGGTTGGAACTTTGCTCTCAGGCTTTAGACTACTGGATCCCCTCACCTCACACTGAGTTATCTCAATAGGGTTGCATCTTCAGGGGTGACAAACATCTTTTTTCTGGAAAGTTCCATCTCAATTTCCTGAAATGTACCCATATCCAACAGGGATTCTTTCCTTCATTTAATTAAATATAGTCAGAGACTCTCCTAGGTAGATTCAGTCTGCCGGTATTAGAGATAAAACATGAACAAACCCTCTTTTTGCTCATTTCTTCACAGTTTAGGCAGGCAGAGGAGTCAACAGATACATTTCAACACAAGTAGTAGTTGGGGCTAGATAAAATCATTGTCTATAGGGGCCAGCCACATTGGTTCTTCCATACCCGGTGTTAAATTCTGAGATAATTCTGTATGTGCTGTGATGCAACTGAGTGCTCCTCCTCTCCTTCCCAATACTGGATGGCTCCCTGGGCCACCCTCTGATTCAGCAGCTAAAGGGTTTATACCTGATACGGCACAGAGTCTTCAGACTCTGCCCCTGTGCTAAGGAAGTTGTGCAGTTGTTAAATATTTTAAATAAAAAAAAAATAGAAAAGAAGGACTTGGCAAGGAGACCAGAGGAGGGAGCATCAAGCCTAGAACCCTGAAACCTAGGTGGTTTATCCTGGAGTGCCCGCAGCACAATTTTTTTTTTTTACCCAGTAAGTATTAAGGTGAGTTCTTAGTCAAAAGGGTCACCACCTGTAGAGATGGGAGTACAAGAAATCTGGATTGGCCTCTTCCTCCTCTGAAACTTTGTCATTCTCTTTCCTTTGGCCCTGCAAAGGAGAACTACCACCAGTAGCCTCAGCCCAGATTTCCTCTCTGAAATAAAATATGCAGGCGGCTCCAATGTCCTGGGACCAGGATGACTAAGTGGACAACAGTAACTTTAAAAATCAGAAAAACGACAGGGCGCCTGGGTGGCTCAGTCGGTTAAGCGACTGCCTTCGGCTCAGGCCATGATCCTGGAGTCCCTGGATCGAGTCCCGCGTCGGGCTCTCTGCTCGGCGGGGAGTCTGCTTCTCCCTCTGACCCTCCCCCTCTCATGTGCTCTCTCTTTCTATCTCATTCTCTCTCAAATAAATAAATAAAATCTTTAAAAAAAATAAATAAAAAATAAAAATCAGAAAACGACAGCAGCATGTCATGACTTGTAGATATTTACATTAACAAGTCATTTATAAAGTGGATATTTACATATGGGGCGTCTGGGTGGCTCAGGTGGTTGAGCGACTGACTCTTGGTTTTGGCTCAGGTCATGAACTCAGGGTCCTGGGATCGAGCCCCACGTGGGGCTCTACGCTCAGCGGGGAGTCTGCTTGAGATTCTCTCCCTCTCTCTGCCCCTCCCCCAACTCTGAAATAAACAAGTCTTTTTTTTTAAAGAGATATTTACGTAAATAAGGGCCTTTCCTTATTTAAAGCTTGCAATGCTATCTTCATTTGTAGAATTTATGGACTCTAACCGAAGTCTGGCTAAAGAATAGAGGAGGGCATATTGGTGGTGGTTCTTCATAGGACAGAAGATTCATCTCTGCATACCCCACAGCACTGGCGCAGGTTCAGTGCACTCAGCGACTATTCTGAATTCAAGAGGTTGAATTCCATCTTCTGTGGATCAGTGGGTGATAATATAATAATAGTACGCAAAGTGGCTGATGTTTCTTGAGCTTTCTGCATGTCCTAAGTGATTCACATGTACCATCTCAATTAAACTCCAAAACTACACTCTGGAGAGATACTATTATTATTATTATCTCCATTAATAATTCAGAAAACATACGTACAGAGCACTGAAATACCTTGCCCAAAGTCAAAAAGTTAAAAATGGTGATGCTTGTGTTTACACCTAGAGTTCTGTGGGGAAATGAGATTAACATTCTATGGTGGTGACTAAAGCCAAAATAAGGGGTGATATTAAATATTATTTATGACCTCAGAAATGCCTCTGCCATTATTTGTATCACAGGTGATACCACCGTAATTTAAGATAGTAGAGTTCTTTAGAAATTTATTGACTTGTATGGGAAGGAAGACAATAATTACCGCCTCGTATTCTGCAAATAATGTACCTGACTACTTCTTCAATGGAGCTAGACACATACTTATAAAACAAAGATCAATTGAATTGATCAGCCATGCATTCATTGAGCATTTACCATTGGAGTTTTTCAGAATCGTTTGCCTTGGATGCAAAAGAAGCACAAATCCTTGCCAGTATAGCCTGATATCTTAAGGACTGGTTTTATTTACGAGAAAGGGCAAGAGTCAATCCGTGAGCTCAATATTTCATTCTACGCTATTTTTATGCTTTTAGATTCTTCAAAAAATTTAAATATTAAGTAATGAATGCATTTATCATAAAATTAAAATAATCTTACAATCTTTTAATTCACCAGGTTACATTTCATTCCTTTCTTTATTCATTTATCTACCCCTCTTAAGCAACTGACCATTGTAATGTGTCCCATTAAGGTACTTATTAGCTTTCTGATCTTAGTGATTCTAAGGGTGTTGGAAAGAATCTATGTACAAGTTTGCTAGCCTGCTCTTGAGCATGGCTGTTTGATGTGTCTTTTGACTTCAAAAAAAAAAAAAAAGAAAGAAAAAAAAAGCCACATTAAATATAGTTCTTTGAATGTCAAATGGGCATATGATTTTTGAGCTTGCCAAGTGTTAATTGGTCTCTTTCCCACTGATGATACAAATAAAATTCACAGCCAATCAGTTTCAGTCATGAATCTTTACTCCTTGACAAAGTGAACCACTTTGTTGGAGAGACTAAAAAAATGAAAAAATTACTAGGCTCATATCACTGAAAGTCTTTGCAGGGATCAGCAATCTGTAAGAAATGCTGGGTAAAAATGAGGCTATGGATGCCCATGTTACTCAGAATATATTTTGGTCTTTAAGGCAGTTTAATGGCGGTTTGCATTAGAATTTTTAAAAATACAATGAAGGAGACAGATGCACTATTATAATAAGTGAAATGAAATACTGAATAGAAAAGAGTTGCCTCCTTTCATTACACTAAATCATATTGTATATCGGTGTTGGAAGATAAAGTCTTGATGTGGTTGGATAAAACAGCTATAATCATGCAAAGTCTCCGACGCGCTGCTTGAAAGTACCATGGGATGCCAGTTACAAGGCAAACAATAGTTCTCTTCTTTCAGAGTACAATAAGAAGCTTCATTAAGAGTGCTACTTTGAGGCTTCGCATTGGCACATGGAGAGATATAAATGGCTGTGAGAGAAAAAAATGCAGTTGTTTTCTAAGAGCCTTGCCTAAATTTCTAATTCATTTATTATTAATAATAATTTGGAAAGAGCAATTAGATGTTTAATCTTGTTGTTGTGAGACCAGCTAACGGAGCTGACTCCCACCTTTGCTTCAACCTTCAAAAGACTGAAAAACTATGACAAATCTAATAGTAAGTGTACAGCTACAAAACTTTTTTGAACGATGATGTGTCAATAATTGTTTTTTTGCAATTTCATAGATAGGGAGAATTCAGGGCTTATTTTTACACACACACACAAAAATCCAGCGGGTCCATATGCAGACCCAAATGGCGGCAACTAAAAAATGCCTCTTTCCATACATGCAATAAAGAGTAAAAATATCAAAGGACTGAATATAGTTTAGAGGTTAACAAGGACCAACAAGTTGGCAGCGATGTATGTCACTTTTCAAATTGAAGTGTTTCTGGGCACACAGAACACCGGATTAGCTAGGGCAATAATGTCTGATGCCCTATTAGGATGTCTCCTAAAAATCATAAAAGGTAGCATTTTTGAGAATTTAGAGTTATTTGTTAACAAATGAAAGACACAGTTTTAGACGATTTTCCTAACAAGTGTGCTTTATGATGGTGTATGGCTCAAGGAGGGCATGGTATTCTCTTGTGGTCATGTAGGCCTATCCCCCATAGACAGGCATTTGCAAAGGACAACTGTATGGTTTGGTGCTAATGAAAAACATGGTATGTATCTGATTCGTCATGCTTCATTAACAATCAACAGGCTTTGTTTTAGCAAAAGCAAAAAATGAAAATGAAGAGCTTGATAGAAAGTTCATGGTAGGAAACTAATTGACACTTGTTATTTCTCAAGCATGTTTCTATTCATGGTGTGTAGATATGGCCTTTAGATTACATCATGGAACAGGAAATGTCTATGTGGGGTGCACAGGCTCATACACACACACACACACACACACACACCCTTTTTACATTTGTTGCATATGCTCAAGAACAATAATAAAATTGATAGTACATTATTGTCTTACCACCTCTCTATATGAAAAGTGCCAGATACAATAAAGCAGTGTTTCTGATTTCTTGAAAGAGAATGACAAAATTGAACCAAGCTGCCTGTGGCTTTGTCCAGTGGGGCATTCTAATTGACTCCCAAGTCATTAATCAGTCCCCAATCAATCTGTTTTGCCAGCAGCAGGCAGTTAGGACTCCATTCCCAACCATTCATCATGCCATACCCTAATTCACTGCCCCATTAGCCATGGATTAGGCCTCTGTTAGAATAACTAAGTGCCAATTGCTAAATGCAAAGAATTTTTGTTACTCACCTCAGCCACTGGGATCCCTTCAGGTGGTCGACACTGGAGCAAGACTTCCTGTTCCAAGGATACTTCCTTTCCCAGGGGTTCCTGCTCAAATGTCTTCCGTAGATCTGGAAAGCACAGGTAATAAAATACATGACAAAACTAATAATTAACATTTATTTATTTATGGAAAATGATATAAAAATATCCCAGTTTAGTATTTTATGTATCTTTTTATTTTAATTTTTTATTTTATATTTTTTTAAAGATTTTTTATTTATTTGACAGAGAGAGACACAGCGAGAGAGGGAACACAAGCAGGGGGAGCAGGGGAGGGAGAAGCTGGCTTCCTGCCTAGCAGGGAGCTGGATGTGGGGCTCAATCCCAGGACCCCGAGATCATGACCTGAGCTGAAGGCAGACGCTTAATGACTGAGCCACGTAGGCGCCCCTCTTTTTATTTTTTTTAACCACACTTTGTTAGTACTGTACCATAATCCGGGCTATTATATTCTGTGTGGTGGAAAACATGAAATTCAGAGGCTATTAACTGCTTCTACTTTAATCTTCAATGGAATGCTTTGGAGAACCTCATTTACACAATCAGTGAAAATGATTAATTGCATCTCCTTAGTATTACTTGATCATCAATTATGGTGATCACATTTTTTCATCCAAAGAGCCCCATTATCATGATACTTACACAGAGTCTGTTATATACATAAATATTTTTCTCTTTCTTCATAATAGGTATTATTAAAGTTGTAATAACTCTGACATCTTTTGATCAATAACTCAAGAGGAAGTTTATGTTTCAGAGTGGGAAATAGAATGCTGGAGTCCTGAGAGAATGAATGTAACTTCTTGAGGTGTTTCAAACAGGAAGCAAGAAAAAGAGGAGCCAGGAGGATGAGTCTAGAAATACCTCAATATGTAATTATGTAGCCATTCTTCAATTAGAAGATTAAATGGTCATTTTTGCTCAAATATACCAACTGCCTAATTACATATTTATATAGTTATAGTTGCTAAGATATATGCAGTAGACTTTTAAAAATTGTTATAAGTGGACACAAACATATTAGAAATCAGTTTGTAATTTTAAACACCAAAATTAAAAAATAAATGATCCAACCATAGAGTTCTGAAGCAACATTAACAACAATAACAAAAAACCCCAAACCAAAAACATGCCAAATACTTTATTTCATACATGTACAGTTTCAGCTTCTTCCAATGAAAAGTTATTGGAATTTTATCCATTGATTTTGATTATAAATTAATGCTTCTATCCTTTCATGCCATGGCCCTGATAAAGGCTTAAGAATTGAAAAGTACCATTTTAGCCTACTGAACTATGGGCGGAAACCCAAAGACTCTGGAGGTCATATCCTTAATGCCTTTCAAGGAGCTATCAGAAAGTACCATCTGGAAGAATGGATAGAGAGAAAAATCCACTGTTACATACTTGCCATTTATTGAATTTCTTGGCATAAGAAAACTTTCAAGAGCTTAGGGGCTATGAGAAAATTATAGATCTGTGCGATTTGAGGTAAGACAAGGGGCTCTCCAAATGGTGACGAAATTTCTGGCAGAAGGCCTCTTGTAATTCGATTATCAAGAAATTGAGTATATTGCAGAACGAAACCACTTAAAATCCACAGAATTATTAGAACTTACAAGTTACCAAAACCATGTCCTTATTTTACATATAAGAAACATATCTATCAGATGACTCAAAGCCTTACAGCAAAATAATCCATGCTCTATTAGAACATGCTGAGCCTCGGTTTGTACATATTTTGCTCTTACACACATCCCTTTCACACATCTTTTGGTCCATCTGTGTCCTTCCAACACAAACATTTAAAACTTTTCTCCTCTGTGTCACTTCTAACATGGTAGCTTCTCCTTGTGCTCACTTTGGCAGCACAATGCACTATAGCAGCTTCTCTTTGTTTTGGATCTGCATTAAGATAAAACTTCGGCAAAACGCCAGATACTAATAAAAAGAATAGCGACAATGAACAACTTTTACAGGATAAAATGTTCTTGACAACATATACCTTGTTTGTAAAAAAAAAAAAAAAAAAAAAAAAAAAAAAATCATACTGAAAAACTCCCATCTGACGTAGGGTAGGGTGAAGAAATAATGATTGGAATTAGTTCTCAAATTAAAGAACCCACTGACTCACTCTTGGTTAAATTAATTGGCATATCACAAAATGAGGGCTAAGGATAAGAGTGAGGCACATATGTATCCAAATAGCTAAAACAAATTCTTTTAATATTTATTAATTATATGCTTTGGTTGACACTTGATTAGGTACTTAAGATGATGATGTGTAAGATAAAGACCCAAGACTAGAAAGGTAAGCTGCGGTCTAGTTGTGAAGCGCCTTTCTGCCATGCTGAGGAATGGCAAACCCTCAAAAGCTTTTAAGCAAATGAAGGAGATCAGATGTCACATTGCCCTCATTGTGATAGATGGATTGAGGTTGTGGTAAAGAGACAGAAGGTAGTTAGGGACCCATCTGAGTAGACCAGGAGGGATGACGGGGTCCTGAACTCAGCTAGTCATAGTGAGGAGGGGGAAGCCATAGGAGGAAGAGAAGGCAGATTCTAGAAATAAAAAGATCATACATTCGGGAAGACTCAGGTATTTGGAAAGTGCCAGGAGGCAAGAATAATAGTATATTCTTAGTAATTCTATTGCTGTTGTTAAGATGGTAGCATCGCTAGATGAAATGGTACCGAATTAGGCAGGAAAGTGAAAGGAAAAACAGCAATGCATTTGGTATAGGTTCAGTTTGCTGTGTCTGTTAAGATACTCAGATGGAAAGTGCAATAAATCCAGATCATGATTTCTCAACCACAGTACTACTGATATTTGGGACTGGAGAATTCTCTGTTGTGAGGTTGTCCTGTGCATAGCAAAATACTTAGCAGCATCCTTGGACTCCACCCACTAAAAACCAGAAGCACCCCTCCGAGCCAGGGCAAAATAAATACAACCAGACAATGCCTAATGTCCCCTATAGGCAAAATCCACCCAAAGTTGAGAACCACTGGCCTAGAACTTAAAAAAAAAAAAAAAAAAAAAAAAAAAGTCCTCATAGGAGATTCGTGCTTCGTTGTCTAGGAGATGGCTGAAGCACGGGAAATAGATTAGATTAGATCACCAGGGGAAAGACTGTGTTCAACAAGCAGGGCACCAACATTTGAGGGAAAAGGCTGCCAGCAAAATGACATGGCATGAACCAAGAGGCAAGAGAGGAACCAAACAGACATGTGTCAGAGGAGCTAAGAGAAGAGTAAAGTTTTAAGAAGTTGGGAGGCCAACAGGACAAATCCAGGGAAAGACTCACAGGGGCGAAGAAGGGACTGGTTTGGGACATTTAGGCACGAAGGGCAAGTGGAAGCCCAGCTGTGTTGAGGGGTGCACAGGAATTGGGAATATGACCATCACGGGAACCTACTGCTCTTTTGCCAAATTTTACGGTGACAGAAGTCAGCGGCACCATTAGGGGGCGATGGGTCTGAATGCAGCATGCTATAATTTTTAGAATATAGTGTAGTTTTTGGCATGGGTTTCAAATTCCTGCCATATGAAGGCACATCTTATGAGAATCCTTGTTTCCTAACTGAGAATGGTGACCACACGTCAGAGGCACACACTTGGAGGGACAGGTTGAACTGAACCATCATTGAATGCCTGATAATTATTTCACTTTAGTGGTTTGGCTTTAAACTCCATATAAATTTTATGTAATTTCTAAAATGATCTCATATTTAACCCCCCACGAGGCAATACTTCTTCCTGAAAAATGCTTTCAGTTTCTGTCATAAAACCTCTTTTCTAGCTTTCAGGTTGGGTAATGAGCATAGAATATATTGTGGCTGCCCAGCAAAGCAGCTGCTAATTTCAGTAGGTCTCCACGTTACTCTGCGAGGGAGGGTGGGTAATAACATTTTAAGCATATCCTTTATTATTTGTAGAGATGTGATAGAAGGCAGGCCGGATGCCTTGCAGGCAGAGAGAACACAAGGGTGACGAATGAATAAGCATGAAAAAAGGACACTTGTCAGCTAGGAATTAGACGTAAAACAGAACGGTACAGATTAACGTAGGTATTCCTGTCAGGAAAAGAGATGAATTTCTGCTCTTGGAAGACCTTAAGGATTCTACATTTGTTTTCTTTCCATTAGTTCTAAGGCTGATACTAAAATAAGTATAAAGTCCTTTCATTATAACCTGGATTACTTTTGCAAAGTCAACTTGGCCTACCTCTGACTTAGGTGTTGATTCCAGCGACTAAAGGAAAAATCAGCTTTGTCATATGCATGCATTCTGAGAGATGTTTACTTGAGAACATGAATATTGGCTTACTAAATCCATACAGCAAAATCCAATTAGCAGATGTAGAATCAGACTTGAAACTATATGGATTTCTATTTACCATTTACACAGTAATCAAAGAAAGCCTTTCAGAACACCTCCATGCATAGGCACACATGATGTCTCATTTTTTACTGTAAATTTTGATGCTTTCAATGAATTTTTTTCACAATAATAATACTGTGGTTACAAATTATTTATGATGTGGACTATGCCAATCATGGCATTCTGCAAACATGAACTTCACTTTCTGACGGGGTGGTAAACGGAAAGGAAGGCTAACTGGGAGTCTGAAGACTGTGCCCTTCACCTTCTTCATTGGTAAAATGAAAATAAATGTCTGGATGCTTTCAGAGGTCTCTTTGGCTACATATAAGGGCCAATGACTGAACAGACTAACATTTTAAACATGAGTTTGAGGGGAAAAGAGGTTTTCCTGTGTTGAATAAAATACTTCTTGGTTGTGACGGATCTTTAAGGAGCTATACCAATCAGATCAGTGTCCAAGAGAAATAATAGAAGAAATCATTTTTAAGTAATAGAGGAGTTGATGAATCTTTGAAGAGTACAGCTTATAATTTTCCCCTCGGGACAATTTTCATGGACTTTTTGGACACTTGGGTCTATAGGTACAGGTAAGAGTTAGAAAACAGGGAAAACAGTGGGTCCCAGAAGATTGGGTATTAAAAATATCGGGAACTTCTTTATACAAATCCAAGGAAGCAATCAC